CTCATGTGTTCAAGGCCTGGTCTGTACTGATAGTGATACTAAGAGGGAATTGGAGCAGAAGATTCATTAATGGAAAAATCCACTAGTGTGTTTAAAGCTGAATGGACCTGTCTGGAAGAAGAAGAAGAAACTGGTCACTGGAAACATGCCTTTGAAAAGTTTATCTTGTCCCTGACCTTGCCTCCTTATACACTCTCTTTCTGTCTCTTTCTCTCCATCTGTAAAGAGATGAGCCATTTTGCTACTTCTCGTCACCATCTATTTCCTCACATGATTTTCTACATCAACACAGATATCTCCAGGGACCATGGACACAAGGAAACTTCTGGGACCATGAGATAAAATAAACCCTTCTTTACCTAAATTATCTGTGTTAATGTTTTATCACTTAAAAAAAGTATATATAGATATATGTATATATTATAAAACATATTATATATAACTAAATATAAATGTATATAAATATATGTAAATATATGTATATGTTATATGCAATATAATACGTAAATTACACAATATACTATATATTATATATACATATATACATATGTGTATATTATATATACATATGTGTATATGCTATATACTATACACTATATAGTACAGTATATGTATATATTATATACACTATATACAACATATAGTATATAGTATGACTAGTTCTCTTTATTCAGTCTATGCTAGCCTCAAACTTGAGATACCCTGCTTCTGAAGTACTAAGGTTATAGGTATGTATTATCATGATTGGCTTGAAAAAATGATTTTGTTTTTGTTGTTGTTTTTGGTGTTTGTATTTTTGTTTTGCCAGTACCTGAGTTTTGACTCAGCTCTGAACATTCTTGGCTTGCTTCCTTGGCTAGCTCTCTACTACTTGAACAATGTCTCCTGCAAGGCATTTTTTTTGTCAGTTATGGGGCTTAAACTCAGGGCCTGGAAGCTGCCCCTGAGCTTTTTCTACTCAAGGCTAGCACTCTAACAAGTTGAACCACAGCACCACTTCTAGTTTTTTGGTGGTTCATTGGTGGTAAGAGTCTCACAGACTTTGTTTCCTGGGTGGCTTTGAACTTGTCCTCAGGTCTCAGTCTCTTGAGTTATTAAGATTACAAGCATGAGCCTCTGCCATCCATCTCAGCATGGCTTTTTAAAGATGGAGTCTTACAGGCTTTTCTGCTCTATCCTGCAGATCTCAGACTCCTGAACAGCTAAGACTATAAACATGAATCAAGGGCACCCAGTGGAGAGTAATTTTTGATCTGTGAAATGTACATAAAATTAAAATGTTAGGGGCTAGGAAGGTGGCTCAGTGGTAGAGCGCTTCCCTCGCATGCGTGAGGCCCTGGGTTCGATTCCTCAGTACCACATAAGCAAAAAGAAAAAAGCCGGAAGTGGCTCTATGGCTCAAGTGGTAGAGTGCTAGCCTTAAGCTGAAGAGCTGTGGGACGGTGCCCAGGCCCAGAGTTCAGGCCCCATGACCGGATCCAAAAAAAAAAAATTAAAATGTTAGTGTCCATAAGCAAAGTTTTATTGGAACACAGACATGCTTATTCCATTATTGTCTATGATGGCCTTGATGTCACAACAGTACACATTTGGCATTGTAAGATTGCAAAGCCTAGAAAAACTGAAATATTTGTTATCTGACATTTCCCAGAAAGTTGTTATCTTACATTTTAGCAGTAAGTCTGCAGAACTAGACTTCTTTCCTTATTTAGTTTTATATATATATATATATATATATGTATACATATATAATAGAAACGAACAAAAAGCTATGACAAAGGCTTAAGAGAGAGCTGTGAGGAAGAAGGGAAGGAAAAGGAAAAGAGAAGAAAGTAAGAATATGCCTACTTCATTTTTTTTCCTAACATCCATTGAAAATAAGAACAGGATCCCATAATACAGCATTGCCAAAACAAACACCTTGCCAGACTGTTCTGAAAAATTGTCGTAGATCATAATACCACTCAGAAAGCTATGTGGTTAAGCCATCAACTTTGACGGGGCTCTGTTCTAAAGCAAATAACAGACACATGCTCTGTCCTAATGCTGAGCTCATTACGCTAAACACACTCTGCAAAGTGTCTTGGACCAAGTGCCTCATTTGCCCACTGTAATGGACGATTTGGCATACCCGTGTTCATTAAAACTCGGCATCTCAGTTGACACCCCATAGTTGAAATCACCCATAAACAAATTTATGAGGGAATCATTAAGAGTGAATGAGTTATCACTTTGGAGGGATGTTTCAGATAATGAAAGCTCTGCTTACATCCAAATGTGAAGCAATAACGAACCTGGTGTCGAAATAGATCCATTTTGCCTAGAGAATAAGCATGACTCAAACATTACTGATGTGGTTCTCTTAGATTAGCTATTTGTACATTCAACGTCTCCTGTCACATAGTAAATGCCCTGCAGACATACAAGCTGATGCTTCTGCTTTCTACTCTCCACCCACAATATTGGATTGACAAAGTGGCTTATGTTTTGCAGTCTCTATCCAGCCTCCTCTAGAAAGCACAAGGCCACTATGTCATTCTGTTAGTTTAATTTCATGAAACACCTTATGCCTTTTCTCACCTGCAATTTCAACATTGCTAAACACTTCACCCCTCAAAACTCATTAATGGAGCTTCTAATGTCTGTTGTGGTTGTGATAGCATTTGGCGGTGGAGGTCTGGGGAAGGGATAGGTCAGGAGTAGGAAGTCCTCTTTAATGGGATTAGTGCCTGCCTTAAGAAATCTCAGAGAGCTCTGTCTCTCTCCTTTTACTTAAGAAAAACAAACCCTTGTTCCAAGACACTGAATTTGCAAGGCCTTGACCTTGAACTTGCCAAGCTCTGAATCTGGGGGAACTAGTTCTTGTTTAAGTCATCCAGTCTATGGTAGTGTTTCCTAGCTATGAGGGTTTCTAAGAAGTCATCTTATATCCTGGGCCTGTTTTGTTGTTGTTGTTTTAATTGTATAATGTTTAAAATAACAACTTCTTCAAAATGCCGGAAGGGCCATGAGAAATTTTCTCAGTAATCACCCATGAGCTCAGCGCCAAGCATATTGTTGCCTTGCATATGATATTTTCTTTCTCCACAGCTTTGGACTGTTTGTGGAGAATTTCTGGATCTGACCCTGTGTTCTACAAACATCCTGCCACTCCTACAGCTTTCAGAAAACAGCCGCCTGTGGTCACCCTGATACACATGTGTATGCTTAAAAGGGTCAGAAGATTTTGTAAGATTTAAAGTGCAAACATAGATACTGTTACTCTAATAAACAAAAATAAAAGAAGAAGTGGGGAGCATTTGCAATGGATTAGTCTGTGCCCTATTTTCTGGGTATGGAATATTGTAAGGCTTTTTTTTCTGGTTATGAAGACAAGAATGGAACAATGGAGTAAATAATCACATTCTCTCCCTCTTCAGATTAGGAGCAAGGCTGTGAATCCCTTCCTTTTGTCATGTAAGAAAGTGCAAACAAGGCAAGGTATGGCCTGGTAGCCTGCCATTGGGGGTTGAGCATGGTTGCTTAATGTGTGTGTGTGTGTGTGTGTGTGTGTGTGTGTGTGTGTGTGTGTGTGTGTGTGTGTGTGTGACATACTACAAACCTCTCTCCAGTTCATTTCTTGGTAATGCCAAGTAGATCCAGCCAGTTTTCATGCCCAACATTCCAACTGTGCTTCTGCAGTGCGGTGGATATTGAACTGTTCTATAGGGGAAGGAGACAGACTGGTCTCCACATGAGAGCATGCATTGCCAATACAGGAATACACCTGCTTCTTGGTCTCTTTGTAAAGCTCTACCCCACAGAGAGGGAACTCATAGAGGACAGAATATTGTTTCTCATAGTTCTCTGAATGCTCTACATTCCAAGGTCAAGGTAGCAGCATCCAGTGTCCTCACAGGAGAGAAGGATCAAAGAACCTGAGTAGCTTCCATCAAGCCCTTCCATAAAGCCCTAACGTTGTAATAGAAAAGGGCCCTCTTTCTCATCACTTCTAAAAGACATCTTCTCTGAATGCCACCACCAAGGGGTGTTTAATTTCATTATGTGTTTTTGGTGGCCTTTCACATCACAATCTGAGCAGAACACCAAAAGAGGGGATCCTACCTCAGCAAGGGGAAGGAAATAAACACCATCAAGTGAAGCACTGAGTGCTTTGAATAAAGAAAAGACCACAGTCTCCTAGACTACCTGAGCTAGATTCATGTACTTTAGAGTTGGCATGCAATTTTAATTGAAAATCCCATCTATGAATCTCTATTGTGGCCAGGGGCCCTAGATGAAGAACTCTTTCCAGACATAGCATTTAATAAGAATGTAAACTAGTCCAGGACTTGCTGGCTCATGCCTGTAATCCTAGCTATTCAGGAGGCTGAGACTTGGGAATCGCAGTTCCAAGCCATCCTGGGAAGTAAAGTCTATGAGGCTCTCATCTTCAATTAACCACCAGAAAACTGGAACTAGCTCTGTGGCTAAAGTGGTAGAGTACTACCCTTGAACACAAAACTCAGAGACAGAGTTCATGGCCCATGACTGACCAAAACAACACCAGCAAACAATAAATAAGCCAGGCCTAGTGGTACAAGCCTGTAATTTCAACACTAAAGCAGGGAATCATGAATTCAAGATTAGCTCAGCTATATGACAATTTCTGAGAGAAAACAACAAGAAAGTCTAATCTAATGTAAGACCAGGTAGAAATTACTTTTTTTGAATAAACAATGTTATCTTTTATTGGTTAAGTATTTTTGTATGTTTTTACTGCAAAATATTGTACAGAGGGGTTATAGTTACATGAGCAAGGTAATGAGTACATTTCCTTTCCAGCATTGTTGCCTCCTCCTTTGTTTTTTCCCTACCATCCCTTCCCTCCCACCTCCTCAACCACTCCCCCCATCTCCCCACCTCCAACAAAATTGTAAAGCTCCTTTTCAACAAAGTGTCTTGTACATCTCATTGTTACAATGGGTCAACCTGTATCCCTATTTAAGCATTTTGTTTTATAAAAGCAATGGTTAGATGCCACAAAGTAGGTGGCAATGCCTTAACCATATGCATGTTGACATGCCCAAGGGCCTCTTCCATCTTTGTCAAGGGGAGTGCTAACCTTTTCTCCTTTCACACAACACAAGGTAGAAATTTCTTTGTTCAACAAAGTTCCTAAAACCTTTTATCAGGGAAAAAATATGCTGTATAGTTCACTGTGTTTTCAACAACTCTTTTTGCATGGTTAATATTTGCATAGACCCAGATGGATGAGCAAGAGACCTCTACATATAATCTATCATTTCTACACCTCATGCTTTTGTTACTATATCCAGGGCTGGGTGCTATATTTTTGGTATAATGCATTTATTCCAGATGAAAGATATTACAAACAAAGTACTTTTTGAATAGTAGGTAATTTGATAATTACTTCATGCTAAAACATTAAACTAAAAATATTCAATATCAAGAATTTGGTGTGAAGTTTCTATTCACATTATAAATTAAAAACCTTGCCCAGCCCTGGGGATTTACACCTGTTAACCCTAGCTACTCACAAGGCTACTCAAAAGCCAACGTAGATAGAAAAGTCTCTGAGGCTCTTTTATCTCCAGTTAACCACCTTGGGAGCAGTGTCTCAAGTGACAGAATGTCATTCTTGAGCAAAAAGTGAAAGACAGTGCCTAGGTCCTGAATTCAAGCCAAGGACTGGCATGCACACACACAAAATCTCATGATTAGTAGGTTTATAAAGAAAATTGCTACAAGTATATTCATTTTAACTGTATTCTGAAACGAAACTAAAACTGTTATTTTTTTAGAACTGATATACATTTTCTTGATAGGTAGTTTTCTGTGGCTCAATTTCTTAATTCTCCAATAATAGGGAAAACTGAAGAAAAAAAGGAATGTGTACAGAATGATCGTCCAGATGAAAAGAAGTAGCGTGAGATGTTTTTTTTAGATGTAAAAGTACTTCCAAATTATATGTGTTAGAGAAGATGTAACAGGAATTTATTTTTGTATTGTTCACTATTTACTAATTTTCCTGTCACAAGATTTTAGCACTTTTATAATGAAACAAAGTTGTTAGGAAAAAATAGCCATATTGGGCAGTGATACTGAATTTTTTTTTCAAATAGCAACTACTAAACAGTAACTTTGTGCCAATGCCCTGAATACATATGTTTAAATACATGCTTCATGTAGGAAGTTATTTTTAAAAACCCAACAGCCAACTTCTAATCCTCTTTTACAGAGGATGGTGGAGACTAAGAAAACAAATCTATTGAGAGAGAAAGTAGTCTACTCCTTTTGTGTGTGTGTGCATTATTTCAAGTTGTTTATTTCTTTTTTTCTTCTTTTCTCTGTTTCTGTGTTTGCCAGTAGTGGGTTTCATATCAAGGGCTCACACTCAAGAGGACTACCATTTAAGCCATGCTTTCAGCTCACGTTTCTGAAAGCTAACCCCATACTGCTTTTCAGTGGAGACCAGTGGGCTCTCTTCAGCTCAGCTGGTTGTGTTACCAGGCTGGTATATATGTGTTCCACACCTCACTTTGGGAAGGTGTGGAGGAGAAAGAGTTAAATGAGGTTCTTAAACTCTTTACCTTTAGAGCTGTTTCTTATCCCATGAATGATTAATGAAGAAGCATTAGAATTGGATACCAGAATCAGAACTCCAAAATACCACATGAGAATTGGCATCATATTAATAATACGATTCATTCTCTGTGGAGTCCTGTGACTCCAGTCTCCTAAGATGAGGAGAGTGAGAGAAGAGTAAGGAAAGTCTTATTTTGTGGGGTGATTTGTGCAGAAATGTGTAGAGGTGAAAGGTTTCCTTAGTTAAATATGTCTATGGAAGAACAACATAGTTTGATAATTACATCTAACTCTCTCAGAAGAGTATCTTAAATTAATTTTGGGAGAATGGCCTACACAATGCCAAAGCTATGACCTCGTTTACACAATGTAATGTAAAACACCTAACTCGGTTCATAAGTCAGCGTGTTTTACAGCACAATTGTTAAGTGGTGCATGCAGGTCCATTTTAACTCACTTGTTTAAAGGCCAGATTCTATCAGTAATGGGCAGTCACCATGAGAGTAAGTGACCTCAGAACAGGTCAAAAGCATCAAAGGAAAATTGTCACCACCTGACCCAGCCTTTATCTGTCCCCAGGGTTTTCTTTTTCCCCAGATGTCTTTCACAGGAGTATATTTTGATCAAAAACACTTGTGAAGAATGGAGCAGTTGACATGGTGTGAAGCACCATTGTTCCTGTCTCACTCTTTGTAGGAAAAAATAATGGAGGCTTCAACTGTCTGATGTTCAGCACAGTGCTGCGTTCATCTATGCTATGCTTCCTGAGAGAAGAAAGCACAAAGAACACCAAAGCAAAATCACCAGCAAGTGAGTTTGTTACCATAGGGTGGCCATTTCATTGAGAATTAGATCTCATTTTGTGGATCCAATGGGTAATGGAGACAGAACATTGTCAAACTCCTATTCATTTCCCATAATAGTGACACATCAAAGTATTATTGTCTACCTGAATATATATATATATATATATACATATACATATATATATATATATATCCAGCATTTCCATTTATATTTGAAAAACAAGTTATCTCTTAGAGTTGCCTCATTTTTAGAAATTGTACACATGAGTCATTGCTCTGTAATACACTTTGGAAGTCCTACTCATTGTGCTTGGGTACTGGTAGATGAGTTTTCTGACTGGCCTTGTGTCCTTCTTCTAATCATGGATTTTAGGGTGATTCTAACAGCACAAAATTCAGTTTACTCCCTCACATACCCCTCACCTACTGTGAAACTGTAAAGTGAACATGTATGTAGTATAAATGCCAAGGAAACATCTAGTAATTGGTATCCTGGTGAAAATACAAAAGTACCAATGGTCATGGAGCACTTCCCCAGAATCTGAAAGGTACTTCAAATAATGTGTACTACTTGTATGGCTTTTTAAAGAATTATTTGGAGCTAATGTACAGAAAGATGATAGACATACTCTGTGTTTATTTCTAGTCTCTTTTGTAGATAAAGATGAATGTGATATGAATTTTCTTTCCTACAAAATAATTGTTGAATTTAATGACACATCTGAACCTCCTTGCAAAAGAGCAGCAAGCTAAACCCCACTCCAGTAGATGAAAATAAATAATTAAAATTGAATCAGAATTAAATGAATTAGGATCAAAAAAACACAGAAAGAATCAACAAAACAAAGAGTTGGTTCTTCAAAGAAATTAACAAAATTGACAGACCCTTAGCAAATCTTATCAGAAAAAGAAGAGAACACATCCAAATAAACAAACTCAAAGATGAGAACGGAAACATCACCACAGAAACAACCAAGATTCAGAACATCATAAGGGAATACTTCTCAAAACTTTATGCTAATAAGTTTGAGAACCTGGCAGAAATGAACCTTTTCCTAGCAAATATTGACAGGCTGAAACTAAACCAAGATGAGTTAAACCAACTTAACAGGCTCATATCAAGCATTGAAATAGAAACAGCAATAAGAGACCTCCATCTAAGAAAAGCCCAGAACAAGATGGATTTACAGCCGAATTCTACAAGACCTTCAAAGCAGAGCTCACACTGAAACTCTTCCAGCTCTTCAATGAAATTGAAAGAGAAAGTTCACTACTGAACTCTTTCTATAAAGCCATTAAAATCCTCATCCCAAAACCAGTCAGGGACTCATCAAAGAAAGAGAATTATAGACCCATTACTTTGATTAACATTGATGCAAAATTTCTCAACAAAATTTTTGCCAATCGACTTCAACAATTCATCCAAAAAATCATTCATTTCAGGGATGCAAAGCTGGTTCAATATGCACAAATCAATTAATATAATTCATCATATCAACAGAACAAGGATAAGAACCACAAGGATATCTTAATAGATGCATAAAAAGCATTTAACAAGATCTAACACCCCTTTATGATGAAGGTTCTGGAAAAATTAGGAATCTATGGAACATTCCTCAATACAATAAAGGCTGTATATGACAAACCTACAGCAGCATTATACTTAATGGTGAAAAACAATAGCCATTTCCTCTTAACTCAGGAATGAGACAAGGATGTCCACTCTCTCCACTTCTCTTCAATTTAGTATTAGAATGCCTAGCTACAGCAATAAGATAAGATGCAAACATAAAAGGGATCCTAATAGGGAAAGAAGAAATAAAACTCTCCCTCTTTGCAGATGACATGATCTTGTATTTAAAAAATCCCACGGACTCCACTCCCAAATTACTCAAGCTGACTCAAAACTTTGGCAAATAGCAGGGTATAAAATCAACCGTCAAAAATCAATGGCTTTTCTGTAAGCCAACAATGAGAAAAGTGTGGCTGAAATTAGGAAAGCAACTCCATTCATAATAGCCCCACAAAAAATAAATTACCTAGGAATTAAATTAACCAAAGAAGTGAAGGACCTCTATGATGAAAACTTTAAAAACCTGAAAAAGGAAATCAAAACAGAATTTAGAAAGTGGCAAAATCTCCCATGCTCCTGGATTGGAAAGATCAACACTGTGAAAATGGCAATACTTCCCAAGGCTAACTACAAATTCATTGTGATACCTATCAATATTCCAACCTCATTTTTCAAGGAAATAGAAGAGGCAATCCAAAAATTCATATGGAACAATAAAAGACCCAGAATAGCAAAAACAATCTTTAACAAAAAGAACAGTGATGGAGGAATATCAATACTAAATTTCAAACTCTACTATAAAGCCATAGTAATCAAAACAGCTTGGTACTGCCACAATTACAGACCTCAGGACCAATGGAATAGAATTGAAAACCCAGAAATGAACCTACAGACCTATAGCCATCTAATCTTTGATAAGGAAGCTAAAAAAATAGAATAGAAGAAAGACAGCCTCTTCAGTAAGTGGTGCTGGCAAAATTGGTTAACTACTTGTAGAAAACTAAAGCTAGATCCTTATCTATCACCCTGCACCAGAATCAACTCCAAATGGATCAAAGACCTCGGAGTCAAAGCAGACACTCTGAAAACATTACAGGATGGAACTGGAGAAACCCTAGGTCTCCTTGGCACAAGCCGAAATTTTCTTAATAGAGACCCA